GGGTGCTGCAGGCATTTGTAACAATGGGCAGCCTGCAGACTGCTAACTCTATAGTAAAGACTCACTTATTCTATCTTCCAAAATGTGGTTTCTGGGATGATTCACCTTACAACAATGGTAGAAATACAGAGTAGAGCCTTCAGGTCTAAGGCACAAAAGAGCAACTCATTTTCCTTCGCAGGAGGAATTCAGTCAGATGCTCAGAAAAAGCCAGAAGTGTTGCTGAGGCTCAAGCATTAGCCTGGAGCACAAAGAGACTCAGGGACAGAGTCCAGGCCCTGAGTTCAAGGCCCAGACCTGCCCCAAACAAGTGGGATGGGGGAGGGAATAGAGATGTTGATTGTGAGAATACTGGATTGATTCAGACAAAAAAGTCAATGGGCCAAATACTAGTTCTGTGCAGATTTCATGGGCTTATATAGGAAAAAAATCACTTAGGAAAGTAATCAGTATGAAGGTAGCTTCAGAATTTGAGACTTCTTTCTCCTCTGTCTTTTACTTTCTCTTGGGTATTTTGTATTGCTCTGTGTTTGTCTCTTAATACGCTGTGTGTATATATATATATATGTATATATATATATACACACATATATATGCACACATATATGTATATATACAGCATCTTGAGACATTTATACATAAACAAATATATATAACATAAAAATAAAATATATATACTTTATATATTTTATTTATTATATATAATGAAAAGAGCATATAACATTACAAATAAAGAAAGAAATAGATAGATTTTTTTTTTTGGGGTCCGGTCGTGGGGTCTGAACTCTGGATCTGGGCATTGTCCCTCAGCTCTTCAGCTCAAGGCTAGCGCTCTACCACTTGAGCCATAGCCCCACTTCCGGCTTTCTTCATTTTGCTTATGTGGTGCTGAGGAATGGAACCCAGGGCCTCATGCATGCAAGGCAAGCACTCTACCACTGAGCCACTTTCCTAGACCCAGAAATAAGTAGATATTATAACATGAATATATCATGCATAAAAATTGAACCCAGGGCCTCATGCATGCAAGGCAAGCACTCTACCACTGAGCCACCTTCCCAGCCCCAGAAACAGATAGATATTATAACATGAATATATCACGCATAGTATGTGAATTAAAGTATATATGAGGGTACAATAAGATTTTGAGTACTGTGTTCTATAATGTAAGGAATTGGAGAATGCAAATGTAATTAGGCACACTGGAATTCAGAAGGGTTCATCTTTGCAAAAGTTTATTTTTTCCTGATTGTGTGAGTCTAGTTCCCCAAATCAAAGTAACAATCACTTCCATGCCCCAGCTGGCTCACACTTCTGAGCCTACATCCTCAGGAGGCTGAGACCTGAGCAGGAAGCTTCAAGGGACAGCCAATTCCACAATGTCCAGGAGACTCCCATCTCCCATGAGCTCCTGAAAAGCCACAAGGAGAGCAGAGCATCATTTGTTACTATCCCAGCCTTATTTGGAAATAATCCCTAGTGACAGAACACACACAAAATATTAAGTCCTATTAAGCCAGTGTCAGTGATTTACATGTGAAGTATACACTCATCCAACTGAAGCTGACCACCATGTATAAGAGACTAACTGTGAGTAATTACCACTGGCAACTTACACAATCAACTTCATAATCTTTTCAAATGTATCACTGAAAGGACAGCCATCTGCAAAGACAGAAGGGAAGGGAAGGGAAGGTTAGAACACCGGCTCCATTTTGCTTCAGACGTCTCCTGACTCTGAGCATAGAGAAGCTGGCAGACAGAACAACTCTATGAAGAACACACTCCACTCATCTCTACTCTGATAGGTATTTCCTTAGAGAGGAAAGGGATGGTGACTTACCTTCCTCCAGAACATAGTGGATATGGTCACCCAGAATGCCATTTTCCTCCATGGTCTTTCTCAGCACCGAGTTTTCCTTCTCAGTATGGGTGCTGCCCTTCTGTCCTTCCACGTTCAGTGGAGAACTACTGAGTTCCTCATGTATCTTCTAAGGTCCTCCATGCTGCTTCCTGATGCAGAATCCCACCATGTCCCCTTGGCCTCCACCCAGGGATTCTGCCAGGTCCTAATCTTTCCACCTCAATCCAATGGCTCCCATCACCACAGTCAAGCCCAGAAGTTCCTGGTGTTGCAGGGTGCAGGTGGAGGTTGGTGACATTTCCCTGTTAAAAGGAGTGACTTTCCCTAGAGTCCTCAACTTCCATCACAGGATTTCTCAGCTTTCCAATCTTTGAATCTGAGGTGACACAAGCACCATTTTCCAAAGCTGGGGCTCTTGGTCCTCAGCTTTGAGGCCCTGACTCATCAATGAACAGTTGTTCCCGGTTCTGGGCCTGTTCTTAGATAGATGCTGACTGCCATTTCTTTCTCCTGTTTCCTCTTCTAGCATTTGGTTTCAGTTTTGGTGGTTGTGGTGCTGGTCCAAGGACTTGAACTCAGGGCTTGGGTGTTGTTCCTAAAGGGTTGAAGACTTGAACTCAGGGCTTGGGTGTTTTCCTGAAGGGTTGACAGCCTGCCCCCCACTATTGTCCCACACACAAATAGGACCCCAGGCAGGACTCCAGGTATGGGGGCCCGTGCTGATGTGCAGGTGGGGAGACCCAGCGATGCCCAGCTGTAAACATCCCTCTTTGGGTGCTTCTGAGATGCCCCAGCTGTCAACCTAATGGCTTCTCCATTCTCCTCTGCCTCCCTGCCCAGATCTCAGAAAGCCCAACTCCACATAGTCTCCCAGCTACTCTATCTCAATAAATACTCTTCACCTGTGGAAGATCGATCGAGTCCAGCCTGTTCTCTTCCCTCCTCCTCCATTGTCCTAACAGCTCCTGAAGTTACTCATATCTAGTCCTCTAATACTTGAGTCAGGGCTCCCTTCTAGCTTTTTGGTTGTTTGGTTAGATAAGAAGAGTCTGAAGGATCTTCCAGCCTAGACTGGCTTTGAACCCCAGTCTCCAGATCTCAGCCTCCTGTGTACCCAATTTGAGAGGCCTCCAGCACCAGGCTGGCTGCCTTTCCTCAAGACCCACATTCAATGACCTTGCCTCTCCTTTTGTAGGAAGGTCAGCACCGCAGGGATCAGCAGAGTACAGCACATGCATGCACCAGCTCCTCCCTGTAAACTCAATGTGTATGCAGCTTCTGCTTGTCCTGCCTCACAGCCACACACGGCCCTACTTACCTGCCAGCAAAATCACATTTGCTGTCTGTCAACCACGTTGACAATTTTGAATGACAAATACTCCTGTGTTTTTCAACAGTTGAATGACATTGTTTCTTGAGTCTACAAATTCATGACGAACATTTCAAAATTCAGGGCAATCGATGGTGCATGGCATTCATGTTCATGAGCGCAGTTGCTGCTTGGGGGTTGTGTGCTTGAAGCACTTCCACAACTCCCTGTGGCAGAGTGGGGTCCAATATAAGGGGAGACAGTCCCACTACAGGTGGGGCAATTCTTGTCCTCTAAAAGTTGTTCAGATTTCCAGTCCCTTTCTAGCCCCCCTCATTGCTGTCACACTAAGAAAGCAGAAACTCTGCCAAGGGACCCTGAATGTCATCCATAACTACACGGAAGGCTGGGAAACAGAAGGAGTTATGGGGAGGTGGACTGGGCCTGAGCCCTTGCAAGGTTCAACATCTTGTTCACATGGACTCGGTCCTTGGGGGCAGAATGTGTCTAAGAACCACTCCTCATCTGCAAAATCTGTCTACCCACTAGGACACAGAAGTGGAGGGAGATCCGACTTTACCCCAAAGTATTTTATAAACACCATGTTTCTTTTTAATGCATGGAAAAACCATGTTGGCACTCAGAACCAATCCTTTAACATAACAACAACAACAATGACGAACAGAGTAGTTCTTTTATCCTTAACCATCATTGCACACATTTGCACCAGTTATGAAATATTGGATGATTCAGATGTAATTTGAGAACCTCATATTACGTACTGTCTTACAATTAATTTCCTATGTCCACTCCTTGGGTGCTGTGCTGATTTATGTATCAGATTTCTGCCCTGGGCAGTTATCACTTTGTTGGGTTTTTTTCCCTCCTTGCTTTAGGAACTCCTTCCTGTGCACAGCTCTAGTGTTTTTCAGAATCACCACCACATCCTTGCAGAGTGGTGATTTTTGAAATTTCGTTTCTATCTGGGACAGATAATTTGCAAAACCGTCCATTCATCCACACTGGTAGGGAGGGAAATGAAGAAATCCATCTGCCAGGAATGAGATCTAAAGTACACCCTGCAGCTTCCTTCCTCCAGGTCACTGGGAGTGTATCCATGCACACAATCATTTGTACGGCTTTCCCCTCCATCTTGTTCTTGCTCTTACTCCCCAAGCACCCATACTCACCACTAGCTCTTCAATGTAAGCTTGTGAAGATAGCAAATACTTACTGTGAGTGTTTTATCTGTGATCTTTATGGAAATCATACAACATCCAGAGAAAAACTCCCACAACCCCCCCAAAACAGACATACACACCTTCTTCTTTTCAATATTGTTCTCCTTAAATGTGTTTATAATATTTCTTATACTGAGAATTTGTCATATGGAGAATCTTGGTGATTAGATCTATGATGTTAACTCAGTTCTTCAACCTCATTGCTCAGAAGCTAGCGCATAGCTACCATCTTAAAGGTTGTGAAGACTCAAAACCAGGCCAAAGGGTAAAAAAATCTAATGACATATCCTTCCCATTTTACAAGGAAAGCTCTTTCTATCCTGTTCTTTTGTCTATGGTGGATTAGTTAATGTACTGCATGGTGGTTAAGCCACAGACTTCCTAGGAAAAACCAGGCTTGTGATTCCACAGGGCCTTAGATGAGGATTGGGACATCAGAGTCTATGAAAGTAGATTCCTGACAAAGTACAGGTCCTCAGATTCCCCACCAAATGCAAATACTACCTTGCAATCTTGGCTGCAAAAGAGAAGTTAGGGGCTTCGACCCAGCTGAGGAGCGAGGAGTCATTGGCAGGGCCGACCTCACCGCCGCTCTGGGTCTCCTTGACAGATGGAAAATCTGAAGGAAGAAAAGCACTTACTTTAAGACATAGAATGGTGGCACCAAGAGTTTGAGATGCTTTGGAACGTTTCAAGTGTTCTTCCTGATTTCTGTCCCTTCATTTCTTATATTTCTGCCAGCAAGAGAAGCACTGATAAGTACCACAAAGCACCCATTTTTTCCTACTGTGGGACACAGTAAAGTTCCTAAGAATTAACAGAGAAAGGACATCTGTGAAAGCTTTCACTCCATTTCAGAAGTATGTGGCTGAAGGGACTTGAGATTCCACTAAGTCATGAGGCTTGAACTCTGGGCCTAGGCACTGTTCCTGAACTCTTCAGCTCAAGGCAAGCGTTCTACCACTTGAGCCACAGCACACTTCCAGTTTTCTGGTGGTTAATTGGAGATAAGAGTCTCACAGATTTTTCCGGGCTGAATTTGAACTGTGATCCTCAGATCTCAGCCTTCTTGAGTAGCTAGGATTACAGGTGTGAGCCACCAGCACCAGGGTCTGTTGAATGTTTTATTTGTATTGTGTGAGTCTCATAAATGCAAGGTTTTTAGAACTTCAGCTAGCAAAATGGGAGGAATTTTCCTTGATCATATTGGTGGTACTCACCTGTCTTCTTGTGCAAACTGTGGTATGATCCTCACAAACCGCTCAGAACTCATCTCCACTGGGTTTACAAGTGCCACTGGTAGAGCATTTCTTTTTAACAAGGTAGTTAATCTGCAGTACAGTGAACTTCAAGATCGAGTCATGCTCACTGGCCGCCACATGGCTCGAGATGTGAGCTGCAAAAACTGCAATAGCAAACTGGGATGGATCTATGAGTTTGCCCCTGAAGACAGCCAGCATTATAAGGAAGGCCGTGTGATACTGGAACGTGCCCTAGTTCGAGAGAGTGAGGACTTTGAGGAGCATGTACCATCAGATAACTCTCGAAGAAAAAGAGGTAAATCCATCTTTTGCCAGGTTTCCTTCACTGAAAACAAATCTACTTACATACACTGTCACCTTAGCATCAGAGTCGGATTCATGAACTGCGGAACAAGAGGTTGTGAGTATCTAAGATGGAACCTTTCTCTCTCTCTCTCTTTTTAATTTGGTATTTTCCATCCAACAGAAGTGTGTAGAGAATATGATGCACATGCTGTTATTTTTCCCTTTGTTTACATCTTGAGGCAGAAGAGTCTCTGCAGCTACATGGTAGGCTATGTGAGGAAAAATATTGGGGCTCTTAGAGTGGGAAAAGTGGGTTTCATGTAAACTTTGATGGAGACTATGTCAGGAGCATGGTTTTACAACTTATTTGGGCTTCATTTTAAAACTTTTTTAACCCAGTTATTTCACTTGATTTGCTAGCTTCAGAGAAGAGATCCAAATCTGTGCCCAGCGCTAAAAGCTCAATGTTAGTATGGCTTGTGCTGGCCAGTGTGACATATTCTTGTTGGAGATGAACTGTAGCACCAGAGCCCATTTTTTCTTGTCAGTCTTGACCCAAAGATGTCACCATTCCCAGTTGTTTGTCACCACATAATTGGTGTTGATTGGAAATTTTTTTCAAAATGGGGCAGAACTGCTTGGTTGTCTTTTTCCATAGTAATATAAATAAGCATAGTAATATAAATAAAGTAATAGTTGGACTAAAAAGAGAAGTCAGGAGTCAGGGCATCAAGACCAGTATTGTGGAGGAGGCACAACTTACTTGATATAAAACTGGAAGCGTAATATATCACAATATCTAGTACACAGAAGATTGCGTAGATAGAGTCTCAGTTCTCCATCCTCCAGGATTTGCTCTTCATTATCAGCTGCTAAGGCATAGGTGTGCCATTAAAACACCCTATTGGGCAGGTTAAAGGACAGATCTTCAGTTTTTCTCCCCACACACTCAGGGATTCAAGTAACCTGCTTGCGATGACCTGGAGCGTTCCATCTCCAGACTCTGAGCTACCAGGCTCTGCTTCTTTTAGATGACAATTTACTGGAAGTATTCAGAGTCTCTGATTCTTAACTGCATTTTATTAGTACATTTGAAGAGGGAGAGATTCAAGAGGAAGGTGTATTTTTAGGAGGAGATTCTAGACCTCCATGGAAATCTGTTTGTAAAAGTAACACACACACACACAATTATAAAAATTCAATGCCTAAGCCTATATGAAATATCACTGCAAAAATCACAAATATGTATCACAAATATATATATATGTTTTATATTTACTGTCCAATGAAAATGTAAGAACTCAAAATATAAGAACTGATTGTTGAATAGAGACATATAGAGCAACATATTAATAAAGTGTGATTGATGCACAAAAGTAAATGTGAGACAGACACACTGACACTCAGACAGAAAATTTCCCTACACATACTACTTCTCCAATCACCATATTCAGGTTACCTGGTACTGATGCAGTTGAGGATTCTGCTGAGCACATGTCCATGCGAGCAGCAGAGGTAGCAGCAGGACTCTCATGCTGTGGGCTTTTCTGTCTCCTCCATAGTTGGGGAGGGTGGCGTCTCCTCCAGGTTTAATGGGACTCTCCTGTGGGTCAGTCTCCCCCATGCACAAATCAGTGCTCACCATCGAGTGGTGTTGACTCTTCCCCCCTCCACCCCCCGAATATCCTGCTTGGCACAGGTGGTCTGGAGGGAATATTCCAGATCACCAGGCAGATGAGCAGCAAGAACATGGTGAGCTGAGGACTGTCATGTTTACTGGGAACACAGTGACCTGATCAGCACTTCCATGTACACAATTGTTCATTTTCTCTGACTTGGGAGCTAAAGAACTTGATGGAAGGGCAACCGAGTCTCCTTTATTCCAGTTGAAGGTGAAATGGTGATGCTTCCTTGCTACTAGGGTTCGTTTAACTCTCAGGTGGGAAAAGTGAAGTCCTGGGGACAGATGGCATCAGAATCAGATGGAAGGTTCCAGGCCAGCCCAGCCCATGTGAAAGTCCTGGAGTCTCTTTCCTCCAGCTGACTACCCAAAGGACACAGGTGCAGATGTGGCTCAAGCAGTAGGGTGTTATCATGGAGAAAAATAATATCTAAGACACAGCAGCCCAGCCTTGAGTCCAAGTCCCAGGACATGTTCTAAATAAAAGGAAAGTATTAACTCAATGTCTTTCTCTGTCCATTAGAAAAACAGTGACTTCTCTAGATGTCTCTTAGAACATTCTTGATCAGACACTCCTATGGACTGATCACATTCCTCAAGTGACAGTTGAAGGAAAATACCCCTGGGGATATTAACTTTCTAACCATGGGATGACGATCACAGTGAACCCCAGGTGGGAGAGTCAGTAGTCAATACCTATGGACTTTATGGACAGATGTGGAGGTGCTGGCGGAGTGGATGTGTGCTTTTGACAGCATGCACAGATGAGCTTTGCACATAATTTTCTGACCAAGAGCCTAACAGTGATGTGATGGGCAAAAGGCAGAGTGGAGTCTTCAGATCAAAGTCAAAGAATAGTAACTCCTTCTCCTTTAGAGATGAATTACAATCAACTACTCAGAAAAGTCAGAAGTGATGCTCTGTTTTAACTGGTAGAGTGCTAGCCTGGAGCAAAAAGAGACTCAGGGACAGAGTCCAGGCCCTGAGTTCAAGGTCCAGGACTGGCCAAACAAAAGTTGGGAAGTGAGGGATGGAATAGAGATGTTGATAATGAGACTGCTGGAGTGACTCAGATTTTCCAATCCTATTTGAAGCTCTACCCCGTGACCTTCACATCTCAGGTTTCTTTGTTCAATAAGGATTTTTTGGAGAGAGACTAATTCACAATGTGATCATCAGATCCCTTCCTCCTGAGTCACTAAGATAATAACCAGGAGCCACCAATACCTAGCCTCATGAACACAGTCTTCAGCAACTTGAGAACAGTCACCCAGTCAAAGGGTAGAGTAGAGTGAAATCTCCAGCCAGCCTTGGTCTCAACTCCTACTGCATGGAAAGATAGAGTGGTGTTTGGAAATGGTTAATCCAACAAAATAAGAATCCACCCCATACACCCCCCCGCCATTGATTGGGGAAGGGGAATCTACAGTACATAAATCTGGAAAATTCCAAATACTATGACATCATGAAAACTAACCCAAAAGAAAGGCTTATGACATCTAAAGGTGAGGACACAGAATCTCTTCAAATGAGTAAACCCCAAGTTCAGAACAGGAAAAATGTCAGAAAATACTGGATTCCTTAGGGATGGGAACCATTTTGTTTTATCACTGTTCAATTAATAGTGATTTTTTTTCTCTCAGTCTCCGTCTTAGCCTCCAGGTGTAATCTAATTTTACTTTTCAAGAATGGTTAGGAAAAGAAAGAGTTTTCTGGAAGGAATCAGTCTCAGGAACCTCAGTTGGTCCATTTCCATGCGATCCTCAAGTTCATGTCTTGGTGGGGTGTGGATCTGTGTGAATTCTGCCCATCCATTGGGCGCTAGTAGTGCATGTTTTGGATCCACTCGTGTACCAAGGGCCTCTGGGATGCTAGTCATGGCCCCAGGAGCACAGATTTTCCCAAGACAAAAATGCATGCATGTACAATCAGTTTATTAAGTCATTCTGAGAAGTATCAAGATCAGAAGAAGAAGGGATGAAGAAGGAAGTCCAGGGAGAAGCACCCATGGCTTCACCTACAGGAGGAAACACAGATCTGAGAGACCAGGTGACTGTATTTTGGTGGAGGTGATGCTGACCCTGTGGAGAGACTGGCATCCTGCATGCTCCCCATTTCCACACCTGTAAAGTTGTCAGGAAAGAAGACAATGCATCCAACCCAACACGCACTCCATGGCGGAGCCTCAAACCTGGTCAACATGAGTGGGAAATCCCTCACTGTAAGAGTGGTGTTTGTGACCCCAGTGGACACAGGGACAGAGAACACATGATCCTGAGAGTGAGTGCAAGCCAGCCATGATTTTATCTGTGTATATGTGTATGTGTATGTATATATAGGTATGTGTGTGTATGTATGTATGTATGTGTGTGTGTATGTATGTATGTATGTATGCATGTTTCTATCTATCTATCTATCTATTTATTATCCTTCTGTCTGTCTGCCTGACAGCCTGTCTGACTGCCTATCTTTGTTTCTCTTTCTTTCTTTCTTTCTTTCTTTCTTTCTTTCTTTCTTTCTTTCTTTCTTTCTTTCTTTCTATCATCTATCATTTATTTTTATCTATCTTCCTACCTGTCTATCCATCTATCTATCTATATTCTCTCTACATCTGTCTTGTGTCTGCCTGCATATCTATCTACCTATCTTGATATATAAGTAAATGAGCACTGGTCCTATGCTTCAAGTGACAGAAAACCACCCTACATATTGTGGTTTAATCTCATGTAACTCCAGAAATAACATGAAACATCCAATAAAGGAAAATGAAGTGTATTGAAAAGAAGATCAGTTGGAAAACATGACATTGATCAAGATCATAAATGGAGGGGATGGTAGTGATAGGGGAAGAATTCTGGAAGGGGTGACATTGGTTGGGTGAGGATGAGACAGCTCCAAGGTGTGTTTGTATGGAGATGTGAGCATACATTTGTTTTAATTATCTTTAAATGGTTGTACAAAGAAGTTCCCATTCTACAAACAGTATATGAATACAAGGTGTCTAACACTGTCATCCGTATTTCTTAACCCATCCCTTCTGTGAGCTTACATTTTACGAGTAACAGACACTAACACGAATCCTATGATAACAACCAGAAAAGCCAACTATCCCACAGATACACTTTTGTCTGACCTTTTGTCTAGTATGTTTCTTTATTTGTAAATTTATGGTTTCTTGAGAATCATTCAGTTCCAGGTGACCCTTGTGCTTTAAAGTTTATTTTTGAGAGGGGGACTATCCTTTTATTTTCCTATATTAACTTTGAGTAGGTTATAGTCTGAAAATGAAATGTGTTTAAAAGTATTGACTTTTTTGTGCATGAAATGAAATAAGGTTGAACTCAGTAGAAAGCCCAGTCAACTATGGTAAAATCCATGTAAAATCAGGACTTCTGTGTATGTGTTTAGTGGAGAATTAGCTCAAAATTGATGTAAGACATAGATGATCCATTCTGATTTCACATTTGCTGCCCAAACCCAGCCAGACTTCCTGGGGGTGATGACATCATGAAAACAGGGCATACCCGGTTTCTTTGTTTAATCTCAGTCCCTGACTGACTCTTCCAGAAAAAATATCTTTATGATCATAAAAATACACAGACACCCCCCATTTGTTGTTCCATTTTTTATATCTTCTCGAAATCAAGAAGAAATCAGAAAAGAAATCAAGAAGAATAGTAGGAGCCCTCTGATTTTCAGAACTACATGGGAGAAGAAAAAACATCTAACCGGCTCAACTCAGATCTGAAAATTATCTTTTTAAAAAAATAATTATTTTATTGTAAAGATGCTATACAGAGGGGTGACAATTACACGAGCAAGGTAATGACTACATTTCTTGTCACACATTGTCACTCCCCTCCTTAAAATGGTAAATTATCTTGGAAAAACAAAAGAAAAAAACAGAAGAAACAGATAAACAACTTTTTTCCTTTGTTATTTATTTATTCATCTATTTATTTGTAGTGTTCTTTTAAATTAATTTTTAGTCTCAGTTGAGGAAAGTGCAATTAA